GGAGACTGCCACGCATAATTTCTTCAGCCCTTTCCATTCAAATGTGAAATCAATAAGTTCATCAGGGACATCGCAAACAATATGAAGACGGGTTTCTTCTCTGCCGTGACTCTTTTCACTAATTGCGTAACTGTCATGCTTGGGATTATTTAATTCTTTCAGCGGAAATTTTTCCTCGAAGGCTTTATTTAGCCGCCCCTGGTTTCCTTTTACAGCGAATAAATAATCACCTCCCTGTTTTTGTATCTTCTCTGCAATATCTTTCTGGCAACCCATCGCATCGGTTTTGATGATTTTTCCTTTAATATCCAGCATGTTAAGAAGTTCAGGGATAGCTGTGATCTCATTGGATTTCTTATCCGTCTTGATCTGTCCGATGACCAGACTGTGCATTGTTGAGAACGCACTAATGACATGAATCGCTCCCTTACGGCGACTCTTGTCATAAGAATGCCGGTGTATTTTTCCATCAATTGCGATGACGTCTTTATCATCTGAAGAATGGTAGTCAAGCATCCAGTTAATAAAGCTCTCATGAAATTTCGCAGGACAGATACAGGATACAACTCTGGCAATGGTATCGTGAACAGGAATACCATTTTCAAAATCACCATATTGCTTCAAAAAATCGGGATGTGTTTCCCCAAAATCCTCTATATCTTCCCAGCCTTCTGCACCAGAAACGACAGCGTAAATAGTCAACAGTAGAATATCCGACAATTTATGTTTCACTTTCCAGGTTTGTCTGTAATCGGGAATAATAGAAATATGTTCCATCAATTTTTTAAGTTCCATTTTGTTCTCCTTAATTATGTAAGAAGTATTTGATCATGTATAAGCAATAAAAAACAGCTTCAGGTAATAAGGAATATCTCAATTTTTAAACATAAAATGCGAATTATTTAGTACAAAAAGCAGGGAAAGATTACGAAAGCCCGCTCCCCGCAAGGACTGACGCGAGATAGTTTCTATCCATGGCTGCTTTTCGCATCTTACGTCTTAACCCTGCCTTGAATACCTTATCATTCGTTAAAATATTAATAGCGATGTGCCGTATCCCTGAAAATAATTCTGCGGCGTTTCCTCTTCTTATTTTGCAGTCGTCTTCATTCATTACCACGTCCATACGCCAGTGCAGCTTATTCTCCACGTGCCAGTGGTTTCGGATTGCTGTGGCGAACTTTTCTGCGGTTAAATCAGCAGAACTGATATAATATCTGACCGTCATTTCTGGCTCTTTCTTTTGTTCTGCTATTATTGACCGAAAGGAGACTGCCACGCATAATTTCTTCAGTCCTTTCCATTCAAACGTGAAATCAATAAGTTCATCAGGGACATCGCAAACAATATGAAGACGGATTTCTTCTCTGCCGTGACTCTTTTCACTCATTGCGTAACTGTCATGCTCTGGATTATTTAATTCTTTCAGCGGAAATTTTTCCTCAAAGGCTTTATT